TACACTCTATTCTTTAAAGTTTATATGATTCATACGCTATGGGTTGAAAGTCCATACTAAAGTCTCTTGAAGGATTGTTTTAATAACAAAGTCAAAAGCATCAATGTCAAGTGTCTATGGAAGGTTGGAAATATATTGTTGCAATATTAGAGCAATAATGAGTACCTCCTTCAACCTATGAAAGGTACTTTACTACTCCGATTTCCATTCAAATAGGGTATTTTTTTCAATAGGCTTATTAATGAGATAGCAATATGTGCAAATCATCAAACAAAATGGCCATAATTTCAACAAGGCATAAGAATGAGCAAACTTTAGAAGCATCCTTAGAAGTTGATCAATCCTCCACTGCTTTCATCTTATCCTATTCCATACATACATCTTTGGAGGGCACCACATATTCCAAAAAGATATCAAGGATATGAATTAGAAGAAGATGTATAAACTTGAAAAATCTATATTTAAAAAAAAGTGACAAAATAGAAATAAAGTAATATGTATATTAAAAAGAAACTGAAATGGCTATTACCAATTGAAAAAGAAACTAAAGACTCTTGAATCTATACTAGAAGCAAGAAAGGAATTGATAAGAGTGAAGAAGGCTTCACTCTTGCCTTTATATATATTATCTAATTAAGAAGTACATGCCAATGTTCTATAGAACCTCTAATATGTATTGACTTTGCAAGACACATGCCTTAGCTCACAAGGCAAGTTTTTTATGTGTGGGCCACATAATTAGCTTGTTCTTCAAGCTATTAATATGTGTGATATATGGCCAACTTGTTGACCACGTTTTTAACCTAAAAAATCAATTATAAATACTTATAAAATCAAAAAAGCATCTATAAAGCTTCTATAAAAGATATTATGGAATTAATCTACTTTTATCTAAACATATATGTAATTATTGGTTTACATGTATATATCTGTGACAAAAGGTGACCTTTGACTTCCAAAGTTTATACTTTGATTACTTACAATAAAAAAAACTATCACGTAGCCAACACATCACTTCTCCTCGATGTTGTTCATGCTCCTCAAAGATTTTATTATAGATCAGGATATCATCAATGGATACAACCACATACTTATCCAAAAGATCCCAAAATAATTTGTTCATGCGACCCATAAGAGAAGTTGAAGCATTGGTGAGGTCAAAAGATAATACAAGCCATTCAAAATATTCATAATGCATACAAAATGCCGTCTTTTCTATATCCTCCTTAGCAATAGGGATCTGCCAATAACTACTTTGAAGGTCCAATTTACTAAAGATGGTTGTATCTTGAAGTTGGTTTAGAAGATCATCTACATGTAGAAGTGGATTTGCATTCTTGACAGTCTACTTATTGAGGCCTCAATAATCAATGCAAAGTCAAAGTCCACCATCTTTTTTGGATGCAAATACTACATGTACTCTCTATGGCGATGTGCTTTTTCAAATAAGGCCTTTTTTCAATAACTCATCTAATCACTTTCGTAACTTTTTATATTCATTTGGTGCTAGTCCATAAATTAGCCGACTAGCCGATTTGGTCTCAGGCACTACTTCTATTTGGAAGAGGGCACCTCAATGAAGTCGTACGCTATTAGGTAAATTGTTTGAAAAGACATCCTAATATTCATGTATGAATTTTTCTACTTCTTCTGCTCCTTTGATTGTCTTTTCCACCATTGAGACAACATTTAGAACCACCACATATATCAATTGTTTATGTCGTATTTTCTTCTTTATAAAGGTTATTCCTATGAATAAGCTATTAGCTCCAAATTGTTTTACTATCCTACTCAATGTAGAGGCACAAAGAGTCACCATGCATCTTCCATCCTTGAAAGAGATAGGATTTTATGTACTTCACTCTAAAATAATATTATGAGCGATGGATGATTTTGGTGGTTTAAAAACCATCACCTAAAACTCATGGTGACGGTGGTACAAGTTCTTGCATCTTCTAGAGCAAATGTAATATGCAAAAAAAATATGCAAAGCTTCTATGATAATTTAAGTGAATTATATACTTTACATGGATATCTTCTAAATAGATATGGAACCGCACTATGATGAATTGGATGTGCAAGAGAGAAAAATTAATAATAAGCTTGTCATAATTCAAAGAAGTGCTTATCAAGTACATGTCACCATTCTAGATCAAAGAATATGACTATTAATAATATTATAATATCACTACTATTATTTATAGGCCCTAATTATAAGCGTAGAAAGTTCCTGGATAGTTGAACAAAGTATAAATAAGACTGACTGAGACTATTTGGGATATTTGGTCAAGTATGGCTCCATCCTTGTTATTTCAAAAATCTTTATTTTTAAAGTTGTAGAAGTTAATATCATAGACATACATACTTATTCTAATATATATCTATATAATTAAGTAGAAGTAAATAAAAGTAGATTTATTTCATAATATTTTCTAAAAAAGCTTTATAAATGATGCTTTGACTTTATATGTGTTTGTAGTTCATTAGTATGTTAGAAACTTGATCAACAAATTAACCACGTGTTAATAGCTTGTGGAACAAGTTAACTATGTGGCGCACATATAAAAAACTTATCTTGGAAGTTAAGATACATGTCTTGCAAAGTCAACACCTTTTAGAGGTTTTATAGGACATTGCCACGTAACTCCTAGTTAAAAGTATATATAAAGGCAAGAATGAAGCCTTCTTCAGTCTTGTCAATATCTTTTTAGTCCTTAGTCTTATTTCAAGACTTTCTAGTTTTCTTATCTTTGACAATAGTCATTCTAATTTAATATTATATCATCTTAGAATGATTTTTTAAACTTTTTGAGTGACAAAAGAGTATTGAGGTTTTTTATTTTTTAAGATTCATATCCTTAACAATGAAACCTAACCCCCTATTGCACAAGGCTAAAATATACTTCACAAGCTTGCTTTCTTCTTCTATACATAGCACTCCTTAAATTTCCTTTTTTTTTAGATGTTTGCACTCTATAACACCACTTCTTAAAAGTTATATATAGAATATCATGGTTTGTTGTTGCTTATTGGATGTTTGTACCCTCTTGATGCTTTGCTGAGGTAGCTCTTATTTGCTCATCACTCCTTAAAGAATTTCCTCTTGTCTTAATAGTATTACTCCAGCATTGCCTAGATGGTTGTAATTGCAATTACTGGTTGCTAACATGTAGTAATCTTTGAATACCTTTTAAGCGATGTTCAAGGTGGCTCTTCACCTCTTCTAGTAGATTATAGTCGGTGCTTTGCACAGGGGATTGAATAAGGAGGCTCCCAGTGACCTCGGGGTTAGATATGGTGTGAAAGCTAACTGGGCCAAGTCTTCGAGAATGAAGCATGCGGCAAACTTCAGCAAACCGACATTCTTATTCCAGGCTTCTTCCCACGACCAATCCTGTACTTGACAATGAATCCGAAAGCAGGTTGAGTGATGACTTGCCTCCACCACTTTTTCTCAATAGGACCGAGATCAAGCGTATGAGCTTCACGGCAGTGGTCACAACACGCAACGGAAGTTCTGCAAAAAGCAACGTCGGGTGGAAGGAATTATTCTACTTTTATCTAGGAGGAACAACGAATTGGCTCTCGGAGACATCGACGCAAGCTGATCATAGCATGAGAACAAAACCAAAACCTGACATCACCACGCCCGCAAACCAAACGAACATCCTACATCACCATGCGTGATTCCTGTATAGTGGTCCCGAGCTCGCGGGATCAACGCATGTCTGGGCCCGGATCTCACTCGAGCAAGCATCTCCGCAAGCAACTGGGGCTGTGAAAGCACCATCTTAGCCACCTACCTTCTGCAAGAAAGCAAGCCTGCCATTGCATGGCATTGCATTGCATTGCGAGGTGGTGTGAAGAGCTTTCAGCTGGTGCACCCAATTGTTGCTGACATGAGCTCCTTGCCTTCCAATGCCATGCTATGCCAACCCTTGCATCCGTCTTGTCCATTGCAACCACTGCTTTGCAGGAGGACCATGGCTCACTGACCATACGTCGATCAGCCGCGGTTTCGGCAAGCAAGGTGGTGTGTGAAGTTAAGCTGCAAAAACTTGCATGTTCCCATAGAGATGTTCATTGCAAGAGTTTCAAAGTAGTGGTTATTAGGAGATGACAAGTGTAACAAGAAGATAAGAATTGAATGAAGAATTGATGCTCTTGATTGAAAAAGAATTGGTTTCACTTTGGAATTTGTTGAACCCATTAAAAAAAATTGAAGTTAGGACATGATTAGAGGTTAGTTTGTGTAGTTATGTATTTTCTACAAGTTATGCAATCATATATATATATATATATATATATATAAATATATAGATATATATAATTTCTATATACTTGTTAAAAGGAGAATAATCTCATGATTAATCTTTCTTCTTTCTTTTACTACAATGTTTATTTTTGCCAACGTTCACATACAACTTGGTTTATAATACAAACACAAACTCCATTCCAAGGTGTATAAAACAAGAGCCCCTTGTTCATTATCATTATCATTAGATACTTAATTCATTACTTATGTAACTTTTATTACACATACACACATGTGTATGCGTGTGTCGCTGTATGTACGTATGTATATATAATTGAATAAAAGAAGGATGTGCCTCTAGTGGTGCTGCTCTGGGGTTTTGACGCATGGTTCGTTCACCAGTGGTCGAAGAAGCAGTATACCAAACCCAGCCCAAGCCCAATACCGAACCCTAAACCAGGCCGCTTCATGGACCCAGTTTGCTCAGACATAGATTGTGGCTTGGCTTTGCTTAGCTGGGCCTTGGCTATGGCAGGCCAGCCAAGTGTGAAGTACCAGACCATCGCTGTTTGTTCCCTGCTGTGCCGTCTCCATGGCGTTGAACAGCTACTTGCTGCCTCCAACCAAGAAAACGACGCCGCCACACCACAGCGACAGCCCAACAACGACGGAGAAACAGTAAAAAAGAAGAAGAAAAAAAAAAAAAAAAAGACACAAACAAAGCGAAATAATTGCACACACGTTCTGGCAAGAAAAGGGGACGTGATAACACCGAGACGGCGTCGAGATGGGAGGAGTTGATAAGCGTCACGGAGCTTGGCGAGCTCTGCGCATATGCAACAACCCAGCCCGTCACCCACGGAGAGAGCTTTTTTATTCGTACACACTACCTCACAGCATGCTCCTGTGAAGATCGTCGGGTATGATACAGTGCGGAAGAGGTTGCTAGGCTATGAATCTAGATATCTACAATACCCAATTGTTTTCGTTGATGAAAGCGAATGGTCGCAAGCTTCGAATCATTGTTGGGGTGATCGTGACACGGTCACAGTCAAAAACCATCGCTCGTTGAATCCATACCCGAAGATCGTGCGGCTTCAGGTTGGATCGTCGAAGTTCGGGAACATAAATGCATGGCATGGTGAAAATTTTGGCTTTGTGTCGCGTCCATATTGAGTTGGGTTCCGGAATGATATACTACAAAACTCGCCTCCATGTTGAGTCCCACCTTCGAGGACTATCTTAGGGTAGTGTCCATGTGCACACAGAACTTGGTAGCTCGACGACCTCAGCACCGTCGAACGCTGTGACTCAAACAGGAAGAGGTCGATCCTGGAATGTGACCAACACGCAACGGAGTTATGCCGATTGTAGCATACAAGAGCGAATTCTGACCGTTACATGTGGAGCAAGATAAAATCACGCTTGTGGGAGGTCAAGGATTGGAATGATTACCTGTACAGTAGGTTCGTCGGCATCTTGTGCGGGCGCTGCCTGTGCATCAGTGGAAGACAATTCCATTTGCTGGATGCTGCGCTCCACGTTTCTTTCGTGACAGCATTCCAAGACCAACCTTACAGCCGTGCCCAACCCTAGCACCACCAGAACACCTGCAAAGGAAGCACTCCATTTTGTCAGTCTCCAATGACAGACGCTAAAACAGAATTGGGTGCAAGAATCGTCAAGATACCTCTGCCGAACATATTGGCGACCAATCACAACACCCAGCAACAGTTATCACAATATTGCGCTAAGCTAGCGGAAGCATTGCAATGACACAGAGGTTCAACAGTTCAAGAATTGCAAGCAAGCGCTTCATTAAATTTTAACCGAGGTACTAAAGGACCGTATCATTGATGCAAATTGTGAACTGTAGCAATTGACTCGAACAAGAGACTATCCATACCATCCCATCTCCTCAAGCTCTCTCTCCTACTTTGCTTGGTTCACCGAAAGTACAGAGAGAAAGAATGGGAAGAAGGAAAGGTAGAGGAAATACCGATGATAATATTAACAGGCAAGGCGGAGGCTCCGAGAAAAATGGAGATGAGGACATCAAACAAGAGTCCAGCGATGAGAATCAGCAGCGCCGCCCAAAGAGGATGGAATCGAGCCTAAGCCCCCCCCCATACAACGTTTACCCCATCACTACACTCGATCTCAAGAACAAATGACTTACCGAAAAAGAAGCCAATCGGCATTGCAGCATAACCGATCGTAGATGTGTTGAAGGCATCCACGAAGAGGTAGGTCATAAATGCAAGCAACGATATCCACATAACTGGAATGAAAGGATGCTTCTTCATTATCACGAGCAGCACGGGCCCATTCACTATGAGGCTGCTCTGAAACCCTACCCTGCGTATCCCCCCATTCGACGTCTGCGATTGCCCTGCTGCATTCGTTCCTCCGAGCCGCCATACCCAGAAATGCGGCTGCAGCGGAGACAGCTAATTTTCAGCAATGCATTTCCTTGACGAATCATACGCAACCATAACAAAACAAAACAAAGAACGAATAACAAATCCAAAAAATCAAAACTATAATGATACTCATTCTGAACGTAATCCATTTCACTTTCACTTAACATGAGGTTGGCATACCACGGGGGCTGTCGCTGGAGCTGGAATGTTCGAAGCTACATGCCTGAAGGAAGACGAAACAAGATCACAATTGACATGGATGATTAGAATTCGTCCGTAACTCACACAAGTGAGCAATTCTGATCACCCTAAATGCGCTTTAAAATCTGAGAGAATGAGAGCTGCATGTGCCACCTATCTTGCGCACCGGCCCGTACGAAACTCATTGTCGAAACCTAGAGGAAGAGAACGGCGATACAAAGCAAATCTTTAAAGAGCGTGGGAAGATGTGCAGACTTACTGACAAACTTCGCATTTGTTCGTTCCTTTGTTCTTAAACCACACCTCAATGCACGACTTGTGCGATTTGGCCATCTCCCCTCGACATGAGCACCCCAAATCGATGAGAGGCTCCTCCGTATGCTGTTGACAAATTCTGACGACAAGAAAAAGAAATTGATGAGGATGCCAATCGACTATATGTTAATTTCGAAACTGATGTTTCGATCCGCATCGAGTCTCTCAAAACTCGGGGAAAAAGGACGAGAATTGCTACCTGCAATATTCAGCCGCGCTGTCCGTGCTCCAGGAGCTAATAGTTCGCCCTGGCCCGAAAGTGAGGACCCCTTTGAGCAAATTCTCTAACTCCACCGCGCTGCCGTGTTGCACATCTGAAACGTCTACGGTGGAGTGGTAATTTGGCTGAGAATTGCTGTCCACGGCAACAACGGCATCACTGCTCGTCCTTGAAATTCTCGGGAGCTCAGTTTGGCTTTGATCGTTACCAAGCTGAGTAGAAACCGGAAGGAATGTGAATTGGGGCTGAATCGCCGAAGCATTCTCCCCGCTTTGACCCACAGTTTGCATTGTGGCATCGTGAGAATCGTTCACGTCATTAGCGCTTCCACTGAGATCAACACAGTGAAAATCTGATGGTTTCTCGCCAGGTTCATACTGCTCCTGTGGAGTGGCAGGGGAATTTTCCCCCTGCTCGTAGCCTTCCTTCCAAGACCTGTCTTCAGGAACTTGACCTATTACAAAAGCTCTCCCTCGCTCCTCCCTCTCATGTTGTGACGACCCGATTAGGACACTGACGCTCAAGGAGGTTTGTCCGTCTTCCGACCGGCGAACAGGCTGTTGAAGAGGGCTAGCCATTGCGACACGCTGCTTTGAGGCAAATAGAGAGGAATCAACTGAGCGTGCTGGCCGCAGCGACAAGTTCTCGGTTGACTCCTCGTCGCTGCTTAGCGCCTTAGGTCCCTTTATGAGGGAATTAAACCGCCGCAGCATCTTGTCAATTTAAGTTAGTATGAAACTATGCGGCCACAATCTGCAAAGTGCATGTGTTCAATTCAGCCCAACAGTGTTGCTCACTATAAGTAAGACTTGCAACGGTTGCACAAAAGCTCTTTTTGTCAACACAACCACCTACAAACCAGAATCCTCAACGCCCTCGGATGCAGCCACATGTCTATTTGGTCTCAATTGAGTCACCGAAAAGAATAAACGTGAATATCCGTTTCTAAGTCTCACCTGTCAATGAAGCAAGGGTACTAATTACTCGAATTTAACAACCACTGGTGAACAAGACCAGCCATGGTCCCGCAAAGGAATAATAAACAATTGTTAAAAAAATCGCAACTCCGACTTGAATTCCGTATTCCTCCCCACTCTCGTCCGCGATAACGCCCACCAGACAAAAAGACCCCACAATCGGTCGGACCCTGAAACCACCGGTCGGATCTCACACAAAGACAACCCAAAATTCCGAAGCCAGTCCCCGCATCCTCCTCTCCGAATCACACAACCATCCACATTCACCTCCGCTTCAGCTGTCACCCGACAGGTTACAAATCACGCCGCGATGACGCCAAAGCACCCAATCTCTGCATAGAAATGAACAAAAACTGCGCAGCAACGTGCAACATCATCTCCTCCGTCCGAAATCACCAAACACCATGAGCCGCACCCCCAACAGTAACCGTGAAATCCTCGACTCGCTGAACAAAAAACCGTGACGCAAATTTTCAGCGAGTGGCCGAGAGTCGGTCTAAAAAATAAAAATAAAAATAAAATCCGATCGACAAAGATCGACAAATCGACAACGAAAAATACGTGGTGGAGAGGATCCAGCGATGGGGGCGCAGCTTGGGTTTGAGCAACGCCCAGTGGGACGAAGCGAGAGAATGGGGAATCGAAATCCAAAAAGAAAAATTGGTTCTCAAGGTGGAGCAGGAGGCGAGGCTGCGCGCAGCTCCAAAGTGACAGCCAGCACAAAGTGTGCGGCGCAACGTGGAAACGACGGGAGGCGTGACACTTTTAGCCCACGTTCATGCACACGTGGCTTCCGCCTCCGTCTCTCGGACTGCGACCAACTCCCGCGCCTCCGCGGGCCAGGTCCGGCCCCGCCCGCTCGCGGTCAAAGGACGCGGTCGGGGGCCCGCGGGCACCATAGCCACATACTGCCCGTAACGTCTTGTGGAACCCATCTCCGCTTCGCTGCGTGGCTCCCCCGTTATTCGTTATTCGTCATTCTCTTTAGGTCCCTTTTTAATTTACTTAAGCTTGTGTTGCTTTGCGAGGATTGTGTGGATGATTCTGCGAGCACTAGAATTGACAAGGCTGATTTCTATGATTACGTTTCGGATTTTTTTATTTAGAAATTGAGAATTTTACTAGTTGAATTTGTTCTTTCAATGAATACATGTGCAAATATTATTCACACACATGAACAACCCATGCATTTGCGCACTAGTCTTTTCATGATACGATGTCTTGATTTCAAGCTGAATTGCTGCTGTTTTGTTGTTTAAGTTGTTTTGGAACTGTTTTAGAAATATGGGCAACAATAATTTCTAGCTTTTTGATGTGATGTGATGTGATGTTTTGATCATTGACTTTCCAATAAAGTTGTCTAATGGGAATGTTGACTCTAGATAAAATGAAACTCTTGTGTGTTTGTGCCATGTGTAAGTGTGTAGAGAAGGAGATAAATGTATATGTATACCTTATTACTTAAAATAATTTCCTGAAATTCATATTTGAAAGGATAAAGTTTTTGTTATATATATATATATATATATATATATTCAAAAGCAATGCATTCTAAATGTTAAAACATGGTTTCTAGTAAGTGACATGAGCTTTTATTATTTGATAAAATAACCCATAAATATTTTTGTTGTTTTCTTTTTGAATAATTTTGAATATTTTTGATAAAAAAAATATGATGAAGATTAATAAAGTTATTTAGACATAGCAAAAATATGTGTATTGTAGCATCTATGTCTGCATTAAAAAAGTAGTGACAAAATTTTGTAATATTGAAGATGAAATTTGGTATTATTGCTGATATGATTCTTATTCAAACTTCTCAAATTTTTGCTATTTAAAACCAGTAATAAATGGAATATATATATATGAAAAAATCATTTCAAAGGTGACTTAAGAAATAGTAATTTTGGAAGAGAATACTGAACCCTGTGGTATCAATTTGATGTTTGATTTTGAACATAGATTTAAATAGATCTATATATATATATATATATATAATCTTTCAACAAATGTATGTATAAAATTTCAAAAATAAATAAATAAATAAATGTAAACAAATAACACAAAATTTTCATCATGATAAAGACTTGCACCTAAAAGTAATTTGCAACTTATATGAATGGCATATAAATGACTAATGTTCAAAAAGCATTATTTTAGGTTTGATCAAAAGTCCAAATATAAGTATACACCAGTGTCATTCCCTAAACAATTACAATATTCATGTTTACATTTAATATTTTTATACAAAAGTGTATTAAACCAAAAGCAAAAAATCAAAAGAAGATTATTTAAACACTGCACACACATGTTTCATAAGACCTTGTTCCATGTGCAAAATTAGAAATAAAATGACAGAAAGAACAAAGAAACAAAATACCACCACCATGAACACAAACAAGCATGAACAAATGCAACAATATACATATATATATATATATATATATATTCCACTTTCTATGTGCTGTAAGAGTCATCTTGTGAGCGGTGGGGACAAAAGCTCTGGAGGGGGGAGGACATTATCAGTAGATTATGTGGAACCAAAGGTACCCATCAAAGAGAACATGGTTATTTATTTGTTGTTCTCTCTCCATCACAATAATGTCCAGAATGGGAACCAGTGTGCCAATATGGACTATGCTCAAGTTTCATGAAGAAGGCCAATGCAAGTGGATTGATATCCTTGCTTACAAGGGGTAGCGTAGGGCAGGGTACCAACCCCTGTCAGGGTATCTCCCAAGCCAGCAGCACAGGAAGTATGATGCAAAGGGGCAACATGACAATTCCATCACTCTTTTTGGGTTCTCAAAGACCCTGGCCAACCACTTGAGTCACCTTCAATACATGACAAGGGGGTACTTCCACTAAAAGGCATGGATGACTACTCATCGCCAAACAGGCCCCATTCCACCACAGAAAATATGGCACTCAACACTGACTGACTTGGACCCTCAGAATCCCATTCCAGCTCTAGAGGGAGAGCAAAGGCTTCCAGACCCAAAATGCTTGACCTTATTTTACACAGTCTCGGGAATTCCAGCTGTGATTGGTTTCTGTTTTTTTCAGTTTTACTTCTTTTGGCAAATGTAAGAGGACTTTACTGTGCCCCAGATTCTGTTCTCCTATAGATGTGATATAACTACCATGGACTTCAAAGGAAACCTTTTTGTTGAGGTATATTAATCTGTTTTAGAAATAAATTCAGCAACTATTTGAACAATGCTCATGATTGTGATACTATGTGTGCCTTGATATGCTTAGTTTCAATTTTTCCACTTCCTTGGGTTTCATGGTTTTGGGATACATGTTTGGTTTAGTGTATTAAGGACAATTTTTTCCATATGAGTATGAAACATTGTGTACACTGAGAAAAATTCCATATTAATATAAGCCACATGCTACTTGTGAGGCTGGGGTCTTGGATACTGCACCCATACTTTCCAAGGACAATACTTGGATAGAGCAATTAATATAATTATGAACTTGTAGATTTGCAAATAGATATGTTGCAATTGGACATTCTGCAAATTGAATTTTGCCATGTTGGCAAGCACTCTCAATATACAGACAAAAATATTGCTATTTTATGTATTTTTTATAGTTTTGTCAAAGTGAATATCATAACCCACTATTTCTAAATGTGCTTATCCATATCATCTAAAACATTAATTTTATTTCAAATAAATTAAAGTAAAGGTCCATCTCATTCAACTTGTTTATGTTTTTGTGTCTCCTGAGTTATTATATATATATCCACACAATTGCTCAGAAAGTCCTTAAATTTAAAGGAAAACATAAGATGTCACAACTTTAAGCTTTTTGATTGACTGAAATGAAGGCGCCTTTGCTGGTCACATTTAGACCTAGAGAAATCAGCTCAAATTTTCTTAGAAGGAAACATAAAGTAGATATCTATTTTTTCTACAGAACATGAACAACATTGTCCCTTAGAATTTACAGTAAACACTCCTGCAGAAGTAGTTTTTACAAAAATGTAACAAGCCATATCAAATATTGCTTAAAATGACTATTTAAAATAAGAAACAAACTTTTTTTTAATTTATTGATATCACAATGGGTATAATAAGATATAAATTGACATATTTAGACTTGTATTTAAAAACAACGTTGTCCATTTCATGACCTCTTTTTTAACTTTATACTATTCCCAAACACCAATATGTCCAAAAACGATCTTCTTCACAAACATGAAACCTTTCTAATACTTTTTGTACTATGACTTTTTCAAAATGAACTTCTGGATGTAAAGACCTCCTCAATCCTCTCAATGGTGAAAAAAACTTACAGCACAATTCCTCTCATTGGCTCTCGCAGTCAACGACTTGGCACTCGCCCATTGGTCGACCCTAAATTCGCTCTTAAATAAGTCACCAATGGCTGCCCGCCAAATGGCCATACCTTCAGATCTAAGCGTGACTGGACCTGCCTCCGTGGCAACCCTGACCACAGACCAAGTTGGTGACGTGACATGCCTAGTCACCTCGAGAGGCGCGCCATAACCTAGCTGTCAATACGTGGTAGGCTTACCCACCTTGAGAGTTCCGACTCATCGAGAGCCCTGGATTCCTTAGGCATTAGTCCATTGAATGACGTGGCTTTCGTCGGTAGTTGTGCTGCGAATGCTTCATGCACATTCGTTTGGGTGGATGAAATTATGTCGTCAAGCTTGGTTTTGGGCCCATTTACCCCCAGCCTACGATTACTGGGGACATCCATTGAGCCCTGATTATTGGTAATATGGGATTAGTCACCAAGACTTGGATTTAGAGTGCAAGTAAGTCTAACTACTAATCCGCTTCTAAAAAAACCCTTCTCACAAAGGGTTATATTGCCCTTTCCCATCATACAATTGTTTTTGCAAGTTGTAGAACTTTTATTTTGTTTTATTTTACTTTTTGCTGATTTGCACTGTTCACTGGATCACGTAACATTGACATTAAAAAAAAATAGAATATCTAATTTGTGGGTTTGAATGCTTTATCGTCATTCTTAGCCTCAAATTTCATAAATTATGCTACTTGTGTCAATTAATCAACAATTAATTATTCATTCATTTTTTTTTTGCAAGTGAAGCTATTTAAGCAACTTACAAGTACACAATTCACAAGCTCTTTCTGCATGTTTCTGCACATGATCAACGTTGTGTTGAGTGTTAATTGTGTGTGCTTAGACTTTTTGTGATTATTATTATTCTTTGGCATCACCTGTTATTGATTGGTGTTTGGTGGGATCTAGTTAAACAATTCATGAGGTCTGTCAACCTTGACACATCCTACTTTAAATTACACACACACACACACACACATACATATATATATATATATATATATATTCATATATTGATTCTATTGCTTAATCCAATAATTAAAAGTTTCAATTTTTGAAAGCACAAATAAAGTAGAATTTGAAAGACAAATTAAACCAGTCCTCCTTTCTTTCGATCCTCCAACAATGTGAAAGGTGTATCGACATTTTTCCCGTTACCGACACTTCCGACACATGCTTGAGTGAACACTCGCTCTCGTCACGAACTACAGCATCTGGCACACACCACCATAAAGAAAAGAAAAAAGAAAAAAAAGAACTCTGCGAATGGAGTAGCCTTGTTTGTCGCACTGGCATTGCAGAGACGTGCTTCTTCTTGAACAGGGATGAGAGTTTCCGTGCTGAGTCGCGGTGATAGACTGCAGCTTGGTCGACAGCAACAAAGCACAAAGCGCCGCAATGCTCTAAGTCCATTCTATCAGTTGCTGGAAAAACACGCCCCCACACATTCACACACCCACATGCACATGCACAATCAGTTGTCGATGGATCTCAAGTTTGAAGTGCAATGATCTACGGCAAGGGAGTGAGCGGTGGTGTCTTTTTACTGTGCCCCCACGTCACAGTTCCGTTACTGCGGGTCGTTTACGGATCTTATGGTTTGTGGAGTTATCTTGCGGTTTGTGCGCTGGAAATCTGTTGTGATTTTGTGGTATCTGTCCGTTTTTGTTCCTCGCATGTTGCTCCGTCATTCCCGTCCCGTTTGTCGCGACTGAGACTCATCGTTCCATCCCAACTCCGTTAGGTAGTTTACTCGAAATGTGATTCTCTAGCGTCGTTTGCATGTTAGAATCAGAGGATCGAAGAGGCGCAGAAGCTGACGGGTAACGGGAATAATAAACTCTAAATTGACTTCGTTTCCATTGCCGAAGTAATACTATTCTTAACATTTATGTAGGATGTTATTTAAAACCATCGTTGGACCGGATCTATCTCCGAATCCCGGCTCGCAATCCATCTCTGAGCCTCAGAATCATTAGGACCTGTCAGCTCTGGAAACACACATCACATGCAAGAGCATGTATATTCAAGTGCAGCTCACCGCCGTTTGTCCTTAGGTCAAACCACTGGAAACGAAGCGGTCATATCATTCCACGATCTCAGTGACGGGTCCAAACGTCATGTTCGTAACAGACGAACTGTTCCTCCTCTTTCTCACATTCACTGGCCATCGCATGAGAAATCCCAGCTCCTGAAACCCAACAAGAACCTCAGTTCAGTGCATTCATATCGAACTGGTAAGCAGCTAAAAGCATCAATCTCCAGTACAGCGAGAAACACTCTGCCGCACGCTGATGTCAAGTTTGACACAGATAACGCTCCTCAGATGTGAACTACGCCGATCGTCTTGCTTTTCCTGGTGCGGCAGAGCGCTCCGCAGGTCACGACCTCGGCAGGCGTTTCAGAGATCAACAAGTTGCGGTTCCAGGGGCTGCGTGTGAGTGGTCCGAGATCGGGATCGGCGATCAGTGGTGCTAGAATCGGAAAATCGAAGGCGAGTGGTGGATGAGAAGGCATCTCGCCGCAGGCAACCTCGGCATCATCTTCAAAACCAACGTGGCCTGCTTCTAATCTTTACGTTTGCAGCGTGCAAACAGCGGCAATGAATGCGCACTTTGTTCATCGACTTGATTGTAACTTATCGAAGCAGAATATGGACTGTTCAACAGGGTCCATTGAGGCCTAGGCAAGTGATCCAGAATGTTCTAGTTTTTGAATATCAATAAGCGGAGGGTTTGATCATGAAGGTGACGCCTTGGAAGGACCAGCGTTTTTGAAGAATCCTCATTCGAAAATTCGAGTAAAAAGTCTGAGATGTTTGGAATGATATCTCTTGGACTTTCAGTTTTGAATCGATCGTTTCACTCGGTTTAATACTTTTGCAGTGACGAATATGTCATGTGATGGGATTTGATCGGGTGTTGGGGATGCTTTTATGCATTACCCAATTTCAGGTCTGTTTCCGAAAACTGAAATAACAATTCTCTTTTGGGAGGAAATAAACTAAGAAAGTCGAAACATCCACGTAACTATTTTATCAATTGTTAAATTTTGTTCCAGAAAGATAACAAAATAAACCTAAAACCAGGTGATTGAAAACATCTGGATTCTACTTTTTATTATGATTTCATTTCATTTGTTAAATCATCAAAAACTATTCTGTGTTATTAAAACACACATAATGAAATTGTCGAACCGATTGCGGCTCCAAATAAATTCTAGAATGACAAGCGTTGTGAATAGAAACTGCACCTCAACGACCGGAGAAAGGTCAATAGGCTGGACTGTAACCGCAGGAACAGAACCGGACAATGTTGTTCCCAATTTTCGAAAGATGATTCACATCAGAATACCTGGGTTTTCTAAAGCCTTTCAGTTCCCTTCGCGGTTGAGCCTTGTTTCTCGACTCAGGTGCAAGATTCTCGTCGCCATTACTTCCTCCGCCAGCTCTGTGTTGAGGTTTCTGTGTCATTTGCTTAAACGCTGTAGGGTCCTGGTCTTCGAAGCCAGTAGGTCGAAGTAGGGGCTACAGCAGATGTGTGTGATTCGATCTCTGAGTTGCAAAATGTGCGCTCATATATTTTGTGGGCACTTGCACCCAGTGTTGGAATTTAGGGTTTTGGTGCAACAGGGCAGGAGAATGGGAGAATGAGAGAAATGGATGCTGTAGAAGTTTATTGAAGTTGTTTGCGCGGAGGCAGCACCATGGACTGCGCCGGAGGCCACTTGCGGGGTTCATGTTCAGGTCCTGCTACTTTGCGCTGCGGCGCTTGTGGAGCTATTCGCTATTGTTCTCGGAAGCACCAGAAAGCTCACTGGGATGAGCACGCCCTAGTGTGCAGCAGAATGGCGCACCAGATGCAGCTGGCGCCTGTTCTGTACGACTTCCCTTTCGCCTACACGCACCACACCACTCGGTTGATTGAAACGCAGGAGACCTCCCTTTGTCTTCTGCTGGAGTCGTGGGATGTTCACGGCGAAGGCCTGTGGGCAGCGTCTTGTGGCTGCTTTCAACTCGCCACATCACAGAGAAGTCGCGGTAAGGATGTTGATTGGAGATTACCCACCGATTTCTGTCCCTGTAAAGCTCCAGAGGGTTCACCGGCACAGCACTTGCAGAGCTGGGAGGAATACTACAATTGGCGAGGAATTTCGTTCGAGTCACCAGCAGCCCTAATCTTGACCTGGCCTTTGTCTTTGTACCACGCCGTCTGCTTAGCTCAGTCGCAAACAATCTGTTCCAGACCTCGAGAAACCTTGCTTATTCACTATTTGGGTCCAGAAAAGGAGTTGGAGCAGCTGCCCGCTTTTGTAGAGCTGCTAGCGCTGCTTCCCGCAGTCGAAATTCACATAGATTTCGTTGGCCCCGCAGTATCGAAGTCGGCAGATAGGGAAACTCATACATTCTCTGCCTTTGCTCATTGCTCCGACTTGGAGTGTGCATGCAAGAAAAAGGGCATGGATTCGAATCCGAAGGGTCTTGTTACAACGAGATTGTGGAGGGGTTTTTACCACGATCGACATGCAGAGTTAGGCAGAAACCCTGATCTCATTTTTGCAGCCAACGCAGGTATTGCTGCCTTCCCGAGCTGGCATCCTACTCTTGAATTGATAGTGTCTCTCAATGTGCCGGCTCTTTTCACAGATTACTGTGAGGAGGCAGCAGTTTTAGCTACAGAGACGATCCATCATGTCATCCGGGGAAAACACCCTGATCTTGAATTTCCTGTGCAAGTTAATCCGTTCAGGCAGCCATTGAGTCCCACCAACAAGGATTTGGACCTCCCCACATTCTCAAATGCCTTCGTGTTCGGAATCCATGGCCCTTCGAATGCCCGCATGAGCCAGGAAACCCTTCCAAACCCACCATAAACTCGTTCTGTCTCCGAAAGGTTTAACCTTCGAGTTGTATTACATGTAGCGGAACTTGTGCAGGGCTTTGCCACATGATACATCCTGCCTGAAACGAATGGTGTGGGTGAACCGAACAAGCTCAAGCTCATGCAACAGCCTGCACAAGCTTGCTCTGGTATGAAATCCCACTTCCAATTATTCTCTTCGTGTCAGGAGCTCCTCTGCCATCGTATTGAATGTACTGATGCTCACCTGCGATGTAAAGCTTCTGACCAAGGCATGTGATTCTCTGCCTTGGGGCTGCTCTTTGCTTTGCTTCTTCCCCATTTTGCTGAGCTCCGATCATGCTCGTACACTCCAAGTCGTTTTTGTTCGAGATGAATGAATGATCTGGGTATCGTCCCGGGTTTGCTGAAAGCAAAGCACTGGATTTAATTAGCGTCTTCAACTGTGGGTAATTACTGCCAATGGAACCTTGTTTTTTTGTGATTGCATATCATCAGATATTGTACACTAAACCTGAAAATCTGCCATGTAAATAATTTGGAACTCGCGTATAAACTGAGGTTGTAGTTAATGCTGTCATTTTTTATCCGGACATGCATATCTATGCAAATACCATGCATTTTTTTACAACTTCAGTCTCAATGGGGGGAGTTGAATGACGTGGGTACACAACCATGCATAAGAATCATGTCGAGGAAGGTTTTGATCCGATCCGATTTAAAGCAGCATGATAAAAATGAGGAAAAGCATGTCGATACCCCAGTTCGGAAATCATTAAAATTGCATTCCGTAATTTGCATAAATCATGAGTCAATCCAAGGATGAACCAACCAGTACATTTTTGCCTGTGAAAAAAGGCTTCACACACCCTTCGAGAGATCCATTCCTCAGGGCTGGAAACTCCGAAGACAAACACGCTCTTACCTTCATTCGCTCTAACTGTCTCTCTCCCTCTCTCCCTCTTCCATTCTCCTATGTTTAGAGCGAGAAGTACATGTTCATATTGGATTAATAATAAAAAAAAATATATATCATTCTCTCTATTCTACACAGACCGAGAAGTGTGGACCAGGGAGGCTTTCTATCACCTCCCCCAACAGGATTCTTCTCTATTTTTTTCTTTTTTAACTAAAAAATACAAAGAATATTAAAGGTCAAGTTGATAGTTGAGGCACCCAGTTAAGGAAAGGGGGGTTGCGGTGGGAGACATTTGGAGGGCCATCTTTATATATGGGCCACTCACAAGGTGCCACTTGAGGGTCCATATCATCAATCCATGGTGGCCTCTTACCCACTTGAGGGGACCATTTTACTATTTGGCACTATTGCATGGGGTTTGACCACACTCTACTACTACTACGGTGACATTCACACACTTTGGACCCCTTCCCTTCCCTTCTTCCAACTCCAAAATGGCAAAATCTATATTGATGGAATAATGTGGGTAGTGGTGGAAAACACACATTTTTGCATCATTGATACACCATGTCCAAATTGCATCCAAAAGGAAAGTTTGTGTATCTAGAACATGACAAAGGTTCTTTTCATGCAAAATATGGCACTGGGTAATTTATTTATTGATGGTGGTTATATATATATATATATATATATTTATTGTTATCAATCCCCTTCTTTTGACTTTCTATATATATATATATATATATATATTATCTGGTGTTGATATTTTTTTAAAAAAGATGCATGTTACTTTCATGTACTCAATTTTTGAAACAGAAAAAATAAAAAACTTGTGTGTGTAGAAGTTGCAAGAAAAAATATTCATCACATCAACAATAAACTGAAATTTCGCATTTAAAGTGTTTTGGAAATTTATAGAATTGTTGATTTGTGGATTTAAGGAAAGTACCTTTCATTTTTAATAATAAAATGATAATTGAAAATTATCAAGTTGCTATTTCATAAGAAAAACTAGTGAATTTTTTTTAAAAAATTTTAGTATAGAATGTAGGAACCCAAAAATTTGAGCACTTCAAGCTTATTGGAAATCATTATTGATCTCTTCAACACACAAGCATGTATGTTTGTTTCTACAGAAAGAGAAAGCTAGATAATAAATTATAATTGATTTATGTTGTTATTATTTTGAGGTACAAAACTTCATAACCACGTTCATTGAAGTTACTTTAAAAATATACACACAAAAAAGAAAAAATATCATATATGTATGTTGTGTGTTTAAATATCTCCTATTTCTGTTAATGACTTGCTCTTGAAATTACAGATATTTCTCAAATTATTTGCTGGTGACCAGCCTGCAATTTAAGCATCATTCAAACCATCAAAAATTTCCTCACAAGTCACTCTTAAGCTTCCATTGATCATAATATTATCCATCTCTAGACTTTGAAATAAATCTAAAATTATCAAAGGTGATGTTCAAGAAACTTTAATTGTAACCATACTCCACATTGATTATTTTCAACGTTTTCTTCAAAAGAATCCAGAATGTCAAGTATCTAATTGTTGGAGTGTTTATTTTTAGAGAACTTTGCAAATGATAATACCATAAATTGGAAATTCGAAAATTTCATCTTAAATATTGATATGTAAAACCAAATTAAAACGTACATCTTGTAATTGATAGTTGAGTACTTTTTAAAATCCAATTATTACATCTTTATTTTTGCAGTGGTGTATCTCATGTACAAATTAACTGACAATTTGAATATGCTTACACTTCTTCTTGATTAATTCCATGTTTATTCTACATTGTATTACCTTTTACACAATAGAATCTAACAATTTTCAACACTGCAAGAAATATAGTACCAATTTTACTAAAATTAATTCATTACTTAGATTGAATTAATTAATTTTAAAAAACAAGAATAAAAAAACATTGCAAGTTTACCAAACTGTGCCTTCACTTGATTATCTGAAGACAAAAATCTGTTTCAAAGCTTCTAAATAAATGATCAACAAATGTTAAGAAGTTTTGTACCAAAACCCAAATGCCAAAATACACCACCTTGAAAATATGGGGCATACCCTAACTCAGCTAAACTCAATAACATGAAGAGAACTACTATGCTTTTAAAATCACATTCAATGTTAAATAAATACATTGTATTAACTTGTAAAAAACAAAAAAACAAAAAAACAAAAAAAAACAAAGAAAGAAAGAAACGAACAAACTTGGATGCTACAAATATAAAGATCAATGACAAGTAACAACAAGAAGAGAGTGGTACAAGGATGGAGTACATTCCAAAAGAAGTGATCCTCACTGAGAATTCCCTTCAACCCATTTTGCTTATGAGGGAGAATAGTGTGGGTTAGCCCCTTTCAATGCCACAACTAAAGCATGACACACACTCTATGTGGTGGTACCACCCCACCTCTCTAGTAATATTCGCACAGCACCATGGCCAGCACAATAGCAATACAAAGCAAGCAAGAGGTATAAACTACACTACCAAAAAACAACAACAACAAGAACAACAACAATTGGTGCTTTCTACCCAATACCCAGTACACCCATATTCATCCAATTACTCTGCCACAACCCATGCCATCAAGGATGAAACGAAAAGAAAAAACAAAAACAAAACAAAGCGCTATATATATATATATATATAAAAGAAAGCTGCACTGGTGTTCTTATAATCCCATGTCTAAAACCCCTAGATCTTGCTAGGTGTGGAACTGAGACCATGTATTAGATTATTCATATGATAAGTTGAAGGTGTTTCTTATGTGCATTTGATAAGAAAACGTGAAGGAGTCGGAGGGGGGTTGAACTGGAATTAGGGTTTGTATGAGTAGGGTGGTGAGTATTCTTTAAAACTTAGGGTTTGGTTGTGGTGGCAGGAAAGTAGTGCTGCAGCGGCATCGCAATCCGCTTGCGAGCTTGCGGGGGACGTTACAACGAGGCCGCGCCATTGACCACTGTTTGGACGTACTTGCTATATTCGCCATTCCTGCAGCTGTTGACGACGAAAATTTGCTCGCTTTTATCGGTCAAGCGTGAGCAGACAAAAATAAACAAATAAATAAATAGTAAGAAACACCAGTCATATGTTGCAATTAGGCGCTTGTTCCTCCGGACAGGCAGCCTGCCGCGCACACGGTACACGTGAACAGATACTCGCACCACCGCAGAGTCTTGCAATTTCCTTCGCGACCCCCCCTCCTTTTGAGAAGCTCACACAGGCGCGTGAGTGGATTGGCGACGAGACGAATCCCTCTGTTCCTACAACATAATTCGTCGCAAGCCTGCACTTCCTTCTTTTATACGTTTTTTTTTTCTTCTTCTTCTTACACTACGCTTCCTCTTCTTCGTTTTTATTTTATATTATCTTTTTCCAAAACAAGTGATCTCATCAATGAAAAACACCGATGTCTTCAATAGTAGGAAAGTTCGGAGACTATCAATAATAAGTATGTCAGCATCATCCTGTTGAGATTGAGACCACATGCGCTACTGGTCTCTCTTGTCACCGGGAACTTTACTTTACAGCATGAAGACGATTCTGGCAGAATCTGCGCCTCCTCGAGAACCGAGCCCCGCGACGTGTGCGTGGGCTCCTCCTCCCTTCGCCAGACTCCGACAACGTCGAAGCCCCCAAATCCTAATTCGGTCTCCGCTCTCGCAACTTGGATGGATGATGATGTATTGGATGAAATGATTGAAACTCCTTTCTCGCTTTAAAAAGAAAAAGAAAAAGAAAAAGTGTCCATTGTTTTCAACAAATTTGGACTTTTAACGTGGTTTTAGTTGAAGGTTTGTAATTGACATGTCTTGTTGAGGATGTGCAAGTGGGTTTTGGTCAAGTGTGTATTTTCAGCAAAAATTTGGCACAATACTAATAAGGATGGAAATTTAGTAAAAGAAAATGTTCCCTTTCAAAGTCCTACATGATTCTTGGATAATGGTCGCTCTAAACCCTTAAATGAAGTAATCATGCTACAAATTGTATGTGTGTATGCATGTATGCATGTATGTACATATGTGTGCCTTCACAATGTATGTATTTTGGAACTTTTGGATTAAAAGAATGAATGTTAAAATAAAAATAAAAAAATAGAATACAACTACAGAAAATTACGTTTTTATGCAGAATTAACAATTTGTAGCATAAAAAAAAGAAGCTACAGAGAGTTCCGAGTGGCGGGAACCCACGTCCTAAATCCACGTGGCAGGGGACGAATTCCAGCGTGTCCATCCTGCCACGTAGACGCAATAACCCAGCAGCAACTCAACATCACGAGGTAGGTCCATGAGGGGGTTTGTTTGCTGCTCATGGGTGCGAATAAAGATCCCCATTCCCCACCCACGCTCTCTCTCTCTCTCAACTGG